GTATTCATGTTTACAACCTTCAACTTTGTTATTTTACTACTGACCGCTTTGCTGCGTATCTTTCTGTTTTTAATTTTCACGTTTACGAATGAAATTATTATAGTCATTTTGACCACATTGTTTCAGTTAGTATTTTGAGTCTGTCTTGATTTATTTCTGTATGCTACTTAGCCTACATGTATCCAATATTTATTTTCTATACAGCCTCCCAGTGGCACAGCAGTATGTCTGCGGACTTACAACGCTAGAAACCGGGTTTCGATACCCGTGGTGGGCAGAGCACACATAGCCCATTGTGTAGCTTTGTGCTTAATTATAAAACAAACAAACAATTTTCTGTACAATAGTAAATGATCGGATTATGTTGATTTATAAAAATTATTTTTCAATTTGAGTTTAATTATGTTCATCTGTATCTGTAGTTTATTAATATTTAAGATTAATAAGCATTTTCTGTAAAAATATAACAACTCTTCTAATAAATTATATATGTAATTTGTGTTAGTTTTCTTTGGGTTATACACAATTATGCCTTTGTTTTGTGTAGAGTTATTATATCTACCACAAATAATTTTTGTTCACTGTTTTGTATCCATTGGTGTAACTGATTATTTGTTCATTTCAAGCTTTTAGCTCAAAGTTACACAAGGTTATTGGCATACAAAACCGTTCCTAATTTTGAACTGATAGATTAGAGACAAGACATAATCAACAGCAGTGGTGTAGTGCTAAATAAAGAAGTGGGGGAACGCATTTTGAAAGTGTTGCTATGATTAGTATTTATTACGTCACCAATACATAAAAACACATATTTCAGAAATAGTAGCTGTAAATTGTAATTGAAATCTACATTTTACAATGTCACAATAAAAAATAAATTTCTCTCACTTTGAACTTTTGAATTCCTGGATAATTTACTAACAGAACTTCCAAGCTTGGTCTACAGTGAGTTCCTTGGACTTAGCTACTCTTGCTCGTGTATCAGTTGGTGAACGATGACACCTTAGTCATTTTTATACATAGTCGTCTGGTTTCCAGTTTTGAATCCGAGGGCCGTTAGGCTAATGAACATGAGACTTGTCACATGGTTGATTAACACCCTAGACCTTGTTTCCTTAATGATAAGGTTCATGCTGCTACAGCCTCGTTCACATTCGGAAGAACTGCATGGGATGACTTTTGAACACCCGATTAAAGGATTCAGGTCTGATGAAATATGGCGCCCACAGTTGTCTAGACAGTCTCTGTACGCTGTGGTTGTTTTTGAAAAGGGCAATCTGAAACGTTTACAAAGGGACCCGATTTCCTTTTCTCCAAATCCTGGATTTATCTCTGCTGGCCACTCATTGACTTTTAAGGTACGGAGTTCGGAAATTACGTTTGGAATGGAATTAGACGTGTCATTTGGTTCGTGAGAAGAAGTTGGTGTGAATAACTATTGTTTCACATTTTTTATGACACTGATTAAAAATTGACTGTTATTTATTGATACAACCTTGTTGTTATCTGTCAGTGTTATTAATGAAACTTCATTTCCTTAATGGCAATCTCTGCTTCTTGGGTCTTTGAAATAGTCTCTTGAAATTATGCTACCTTTTCTTGGTTGGGGTGTATGTGGTTGCTATGCTGCTTCCTGCACAGCAAAGACCAATAATAGTAAACTGGTTCACAACTTTATTGGAGACATTCCTAAATCCTAAAACAATATCACACATTTCTTCTACTTTAAATTCATAACGTGGAAAATCACTGAAGAAAAAATTATATACATAACTCAATAGAGTCGTTATCTTCAAACTTAATATTTATTGAGTAAGAAGAGAAGCACCACAGCAACATACATAAACACATTTAATTAAACTTTTCAATTTTACAAATCTCATCATCATTGATCTGTAAAAAGAGTCATAAATCCTTTAAATATATGTAGTTATAGTTCAGAATTGTTAATATATCTTACTTTTATGTGCTTAGTGCACTCCAAAGTTGCAAAAAAAAATAGTATTATGTGTATCATCTTCAATGCACATATTTTTACAGACCTCTGAAAATGAAATTGCAGATTCCAAAATATTTGATTAGATATGCTTGCAATTACTATGGTCAATGGTTACTTAAATTTTGAATTTCGTGCAAAGGTACACAAGGGCTATTTGCAATAGTTGTTCCTTATTTAGCAGTGAAAGACTAGAGGAAAGGCAGCTAGATATCACCACACACGGCCAACTCTTGGGCTACTCTTTTACCAACAAATAATAGGATTGACCACCACTTTATAATGCCCCCATAGCTAAAAGGGTGAGCATGTTTGGTGGGACGGGGAATCGAAACTGCGACCCTGAGGTTGCAAGTTGAAATATAATTTTTGTAAATACGTTGTTAATCTCTATTCATATAGTATTTTTTAAACTTTGTTTTAATTGCACATCACTTAGCCTGAAGACAATTCCAAAAGAAGTTGAAAACCTGCTCAATATAAAATCTAGAGATAAAACCAACTGAATTATCTTTTATCCATGAAACTTAAATACATTTGTTAGTGGACACTAAGTTCTGAGGCAATTGTTTGTATGCTACTACTAATGACGATAATAAACAAGATTACATCTGCAGCTGAAATGAAACTCTTGAAAAGTGTGAGTAAACCAGAGGTTGAGAATTAGTAGTTAAGATAATGAGTTACAAGAATTTAAAAAAAAAGTGATCAGTTCAAGTTAAAAAAAAATTAATGTAGAAGTGTGGCAGGAACATAATTAGTATAGAAGGTGAGAAGCATGGTCTTTGGAGTAGACTAAGATAAAGGTATTATCTATATAATGCTTACAGAAGACAAATTAAAATGAAAACTACAATCACCAATTTGTCAAGTCATTTTACCCTTCCAGTTGAAACTTATTTTCAATCCTTTGGACTTATGAATTTCTTGATTTAATGACCAGATATTGAACATATTATGACCATGGATCGTTTATGCTCTTATGAAACTGTCCCATTAAATAAGGTCTACTTCATGATGACCTGTGACATCATATCTAGTTGAACTTGAGATGGTTTCTCCCTGTGGTTGCAGCCACCTTGGACATCTGCTGTGTTACATGTCTTCAAAGATGGCTGAACTCAGATGAAAGAAAAATCTTGGAATAAACCAAGTGTCATTTCATTTGACCAATAAATCACAAGGTCAAGAGTAAACAAACTTAGTGGTGCTTAACTTTCTTATGAAATTAAGATCCCCCCCCCCCCACCTCAAGTAATATATTTTAAATCATAGAAAGGGAAATTGCTGGGAGAATGATCAATGATGGTTTTGTTTTAACAGTATTTAAGAAAAATATGTTTTACAAAATCTTTGTATAAATATTACACTTCAAAAACCCCCTCCCCTATGCTATGATTGAAACTTACATTTTATAGCATTCACAAACAAACATTTATATAGCTGGATAAAAATAAAACCAAGATGAAATAGAAAGAAAATGGACAAAGATCTTAAAAGTATAACATTTCTTAACAGACATATATAAATAATTCTGAATTTAAACTCTCTGGCAAATTTATTTTTCTTGCTGTTGTTTAAAAGAACACATCACAAACAAAATGCAAGGTTACTGTACTTTTTAATTTCATTTGATTTGTTTTAGAATTTTTGCACAAAGCCACACAAAAGACTATCTGTGTATAACCATCCCAGATTTTGAAATTTTATACAAAAGGAAAGACAGCTAATAAACAACACTCATTACCAATTATTGAACTACTCTTGGCTGAGCAAATAGTGGTATTTAACTGTCACTCTTATAATACACCCACAGCCTCAAATTTCAATGAGAAGTGAACCATGAAACTTCGGCCTCACAGTCTGAATAAGCCAACCACTAAATCATGTTATATATAAAAAGTAATATAATTTTAAGTTAACCCTCAACTAGTAAGGTGGAGTCAGAAAGACCCAAGTCAATTTTTCAAGCCAATATTCCAATTTAGCTAGTGTTGCTCTTTACCTAATATTTTCTGTACTCTATCCTCAATCAGTTCTTTGGTGTTGAGTAGTGCGAATGTGATGTTGCAGTTCTCTTACTTAATGTTATAATTATTTGTTTGTCGTTTATGGGTCATTCTGACTCCACCCTACCACATATGATACAAATACTTTATCTTACCAGTTGAGAATTAATACTAACTGGTTAAACAGCTAGGATTCTTGTGTATATGGATCATCAGAGCAATGAATTTTTAGTTTTCTATGACAGTGTAACTAAAGAGAAGAATTAAAATTTAAATTATATCAGTATTACTTCTAGTCACATACAAATGTGTAAAAGTAAACTTTAGTGAGACTAGATGGTGAATGCAGCAGCATCGCGTGGAGCCATAGACCTACTTTGTCTTCATTACCAGACAATTCTGAACAGAAAACAATAATAACTTGAGATATATATTTTTTCATACTTGATCTATGTAGCCTCTTGCAACTCAAATTCAGTGCATTCAGCCATCATGCAAATAAAATTGAATGTAGATCATATTGTTGTCAGTGTTGAAAATTTTCCAAGTGTAAAATTAAAAATGCAGATTGTGACTTTCATGTCTTAGATTACTTGGAACTTTCAAAATCTCTAATTCAAAGGTTTTTGACTTGGAGTCCAGAAATGACAATTTGAGCAAAGTGACCAAGTTTTTCACCATTAAAAGAAGTAACTGATAACTTACTGTGTAAACCACTAACAAAAATAATGTATTTTTTTAAGTCAAGCTGTAAAATTATCTTTGCTTAATAATTATTTTCAATGACTTTCACAGCAGGGGCATAAGACATAATTTCAATGCTAACCTAGTAAAATATCATGATTGGAAAATGACATTTGATACTGTTTTTTGAAATTGCTCATAAGATTATTAACAATAAACTATCATAATTTTTTCTACAGGAAAAAAAAACAAACAACACATAACAGTTGAAAGTTTTGGAAATATCTTAGAAGCTGTGTTAGATACATTACAGTGAATAATACATATATTAAAAAACAGAAAAGTTTCAATGTATACACAAATGTTTTTAATTTCACAAAACATCATACTGAACAAAAATGTTGTATAAAATGAGTTACAGACTTTGTTAAAGCTTTCACTTTCTGTACAACCATCTTTCATTTTGCCACACATTTTAAATTTTGTCAGTCAGTCGCTTCCATTTCAATCTCAAAGCCACTATCACTTTGTTCTGTTGGGATAATTGGGCTGCTATCCAACAGAGCTAAGTTTTGCTCTGAAGGAAATTCATAAATGGGTAACTCATCCGGAATACCTAAGACAAATATATTGCAGTGTTAACGCTAAACACAAAAGCATTTCAAATGCAGAAGAAAGCTAACAAAGTTACATACACATAATGTAAATATTAAATTTACTGACTAATTACATATACAGAAAACAAAAGAGGATAAGTGATTATCACAACAGTATTTAAAAAATAAAACCAAATGTAACATTCTCTGTTAAACCTTATCACATAAGTAATTATAATTAAAAACAATTTTCCACTACATACATTACAGAAAAAAAAAGTGTTATGAGTTTCATGCAGAGCTACATGAGAGATACCTGCACTAGCTATCCCTAATTTAGCAGTGAAAGACTAGAGGGAAGGCAGCTAGTCATCACCACCCACCACCAACTCTTGGGCTACTATTTTACCAATGAATAGTAAGATTGACCATCACAGTATAAAGCCCCTACGGCTGAAAAGGCGAGCATGTTTGATGGGATGGGGATTCAAACCCACGACCCTCCAATTGAAAGTTGAGCCCCTAACCACCTGACTATACCAGGCCAAAAGTTGTTTTTTTCCAGCATGTTTTCTAATATGAAAGCCACATCGGGCTATCTGCTGTGTCTACTTACCACTGTTCCACTGGCAGATTAAAAAAAAAGTGATTGATACAAGCTTACCATAAATTACACATCTGCAGAACAATAATTCATGTTTAAATTAAATTAATTGAAGACTTTTCCACACTTACACAATTAAAGGCAAATAATTTCAAAAATTACAAAACAAATAAGGAAATAAAACATAAAAAAGATTATTACTAGAGTTGGGCAATTTAATCGATTACCCATGAGTAGTGATTATATCCATTAGTATCTTGTAACTAATCGATTAATGTCACAAAAACAGTCAATTGAAATTAGTGTTTCTGATTACTCCAAGAATCAATTAAGTGAAATTATGATTAAATTGATTGTCACAAAAGTAATCAACTAAAAGAAATTAGGGCTTCCAGTTATTTACTGTTTCAGATTATTTTACCTACCCAAATAATATAGATATATTGCCATTATGTTGTTTTGTTGTCAAGCAAAAAGCCACATAATGGGGGGTTGGGGAGAGAGTACCTCATGAGTTGAGGGTCTAGAGTTTGATTCCAATTGCTACTAACTTTGCTCAACCTTTCTTATTGCAAAGTACCTGTTACTAATTTTGGACTGCTGACTGGAGGAAAGGCAACTGGCTGGATACATAGGTGTTAAACAAATTGTGATTTTACTGTTTTTTTAAGCTGTTTTATGTTTTTAACTTATAATTGTATAACTGTAACATGTATTTTTTAATGTGAATCTATGGGAGGGGATGAAGATGGTTGAACCATCCACCCCACCCCTCCATTTTTTTTCCAGAAATTATTAAGAAAACAACCAAACATTTTAGCACTATCATATTGTATCAAAAAAGAAATATTAGATGCTAGTGTTTCTATTTGATTGGTCTATTAATGACTGTAAAAACTTTTTTCAGTTTTTCTGAAGTCCACACAGCCGATTACAGCAATCTGGTTACAGCCTCACCCAATAACTGATTATTCCTAAACAAATACAACAATATAAACGTTAGTTAAATGTTGTCATGGTAAACTTTCACACCTTGGCTTTTTCCAAACACTAACAATGTATGTGTGTTCTAGACTTTTGAAATTTGTTTTCTTCCAAGTTAGTACTGCTTAGGATACTTGCAGCTCTTACATTAACAATGTTACAAAATCGATTTTTCATTGTTTGGAGGTTAGAAAGGTGTTTTTGTATTGTTGATATCCAAAGTAAGTGAGGTGATAAAAATTATCCAAGTAATTATAGGCCTATTAGTCTTACATCAATTGTGGGAAAAGTTTTTGAAAGGTTAATAAAAGATGGTTTGCAAAATCACTTAAATAAGTTAAAACTTCTGTTAGATAGTCAGCATGGTTCCACTTGGGGAAAATCTTGTCTTAATAAACTTTTGAAATTCTTTGATGAGGTTACAGGTGGGGATGTGATGTATCTAGATTTTCAAAAAGCACTTAACAAGGTGACATATAAAAGGCTTGTTTAAAGAGTTATCTCTGTAGGTGTGGAGGATAGGTTAACTCATTGGATAGAAAAGAGAGGGTTGTTATAAAAAGAGTTCAGTCAAACTGGATTAATGTTAGGAGTGGAGTATCTCAGGGCTCCGTGTTAGGACCTTTGCTCTTTCTGATTGACAATGACATATATGAAGGAATGGTAAATAGATTATTTAAAATTGCTGATGACATTAAAGTTTTTGATTCTAATGCCTTACAAAAGTATTTGGATTATTCGGTGAGTTGGGTGAATAAATGGCAGATGCCTTTTAATTATAATAAATGCATGTGGGATAACACAATTTGAACTATTAATATAATTTTGGTAGGAATAACCTTAACAATGTTATAGAAGAAAAATATCTTGGTATTCTGGTTGATCACTCTCATAAGCTATTCAGGCAATGTGCTGTTCCTTGTGGCAGGAGAAATAGAATTTTAGGTTGTATCTTGTCAGGTTTTTATAGGGCCAGATTCTTTAGAGTAGGTGCCTGTGACTTGTTGGCGATAAATTTGAACAATAAATGGATGGCACACAATCCACTTGTTTTAAAATAACATTTTCAAAACAAGTCAAACATATATATATATATATATATAAAATTTGTTACACTAATGGTTAACACAGTTGTATCAAGAACTTTAAATAATTGCCTCCTTTTCCTCAAAGTCCACATAGGTAGGTTCAGTTACTTTAGAACATCCTTTGACAAGACAAATTATTCTCCTCTATCTTTGTTATTACAATACAAGCCATGAAGCTCACTTTAGAAAATGCCTGTTATGGCTAAACTAACAATCAAGCAGTCTAACTTCACTTTCACTAACTTAATTTTACTTCTTCTTACTTGCATTCTGTATCCACACTTAGTTATAACACACAACTGAAAAAGCTAGAAATACCCAGCCCTCTAGTGACAACAATATTCACATAACGAGAAAACCTGATGATGACAAAACATTGTCGAAACGTTGTACATTTGCTGTTATGTTAAACTTATATTAAAGTTTTTCTTCCTTACCCATTCAAGCCGTCTCCAACCATTATTAGAAGCTTTTAAGTAAAATAATGTCAACAGTATTACAAAAGCCTAGTACAACAACTATACAACATACCTACGTAATGAAATTTGTCATAAATATTACTTCTAAAATAATTAACTTTAAACACTCTTCTTACAAAAACTAACTAATAATTAAATATTAAATTACTAAATAATAACTCTTAATTAAACAGTCTTGTATATTCAACATACCTACAGAAATACTGAATATAAGTCTAAAGAGGTTAAAATGTCGTTGTATATGCCACTGGTTAGGCCACATTTGGAGTACTGTATTTAGACTTGGATTTCTTACCTTAGAAAGGACATTGAATTGTTGAAAATGGTTCAGAGGAGAGCTACTAGGATGAAAAAATGTTCAAATACATTAAAACACGCATCTATAACAAAAACTTTTTAAATTATTACTTGCAACAATTCAGGCAGAAGCCCTTCATCAGGTAGTATAAACCATGTTACATATTAAGTCATCAAGAAAATAATGGTGTTGCAGTGAACGAAAAAGATGGTGCCATATCTGGAAAATATGGTGGGCGGGGGAGAATTTCCCGACCCAACTCCATAATCTTGTATTGCATCAAACGTGCCACATGTGGACGTGCATTGTCGTGAAGAAGAACACCTTTCCGATTGATGAGTGAAGGGCATTTCTGAGGAAGGGCTTGATTTAAATGTTCCAGTTGCTGATTATAGATCTCTGCATTGACAGTTCACTGTAGATTGAGTAGTTTGAAATAAATTACTCCTTTGATGTCCCACCAAATGCAAAGCATCACTTTCTGCAGATTGAGTCCAGGTTTAGGGATTGGAAGTGGATTTTGTCTAGCACTGAGCCATTGTTTTTGGCATTTAATTTTCGCATAGAGAATCCATATTTCATCATCGGTGACAATTCTGTCCAAAAATGGTTCACGTGCCAGAAGAGATGAAGCAAAGTTCACATGTTGGAAATGAGAGTTTGTGAGGCACCCA